CTGGATTCTGCCTCAAGGCTCACTATAGTAGAATAGAACACAGAAAGGGAGGTGTATGCATTCGTGTAAAAGAAAGCCTTGAGAGTAGCACAGTAGCCATAGATGTTTCCAAGTACTGTAAAGAACTGTTATTTGAAGCAGCTCTTATAAAAATAAAATTCTAGAACACAAATCTGTTTGTACTGGGAACCTACATACCGGCAAACGGAGACCTTGAGAAATCATTAAAGACCTTTACTTTACACAACTAATTGAGGAAACAAAAATTGAAAATTCTCCCCTCATCATCATGGGAGATAATAACGTTGATTTGTAACCCTAACAGGAAATACATTATGTCAAATGAAACTATTGCTATGCACAACATCCAGAGACTACAGCTTCCACCTACAAGAATAACAAATTTAACACAAACCTCCATTGACTGGATATATATAAATGTGGATACAGACCAACTCACTCCAGAAGTCATCAGTGCAGGACTTTCGGATCTTGCTGATCAACTCTGTACTGTAAACTTCAACTCACACATCAACTCAAGTTATCCAGCCCAAATTGGACGCTGCCTAAAAAATAAAAACCTGCAAGGCCTCAAATATCTTCTCAGTAAAGAAAATTAGTTTTACCTCAATAGACAATGCCGAAGAAGCTTTTAAAACTTTTAGTAACATAGTGAGAGTAGCTATGGTTGCAGCCTGCCCCCAAAAGAAGATAAAAACACAAAGAAAACATAAACTCACATTTTGTATGGACCCAGAAGCAGTGAGACTCAAAGCCGAATTTCATAAAGCTCTAAGAAAGTTTGAGATGACGGGAAATCCAGATGAAAAAAGGGTTTCAATTGAAAATAAAAAGAACTATGACCTGTACTTGAAAACGATGCGGAAGAAGGTTAACTCTGACCAGTTGATGAAAGCTGAAAATAAATCTAAAGCTATCTGGGAAACGATAAACACAGCGTGGTCCAAAAAGGAAACATCCCTAAATGAAATAACCCTTCAAGTAGATGGCAAACTCATAAGTAATGTGACCCATGTTTCGTTCAAAGCACGGACGAGAAGGAAGTTAAAATGATTATAAACAAACTTAATGCAAAATACTCGTCTGGAATCGATGAAGTCCCTAAAACGAGGCATCTTTCCTTAACTACTTAAAATAACTAAAGTATACCCGAAATTCATAAAAGGTAGTACATTAGAAGCAAGCAACTACAGACTAATTTCTCTTGTTTCCACCTTCTTCAAAATATACGAAAAAGTTGTTTTAAAAAGACTTTTAGACCACTGCACAAATCACAACCTACTAAACAACCTGCAACATGGAGGTTCCCCAAGGGACAGTCATGGGTCCAGTACCATTTATTCTTTTTACCAACAACTTGCCGCAACAAATATGAGACGCCTGCCTTACTCTTATGTATGCTGATGACACAACCTTAGTGTTTAATGAACCACTAGCTGAAAATCTATAAGTAAAATCCTATGTGTCACTCAGTATGGCCTACCAATACTGATATAATAATGGTCTCGCAGTAAACATGTCTAAAACAACTCAAATAGCTTTTCGCCATAAATCTCATAAAGTGCCACGACTTCCAGATGTATAAGTGGAAGATGAAGCTAAGTTGTTGGGCATCACACTCTACAAGAATTTAACCTGGACCCTTCATGTGGATAATATATGTAAAACATTACGTTCAAGCATTTATGCTATTAAACGTATAAAAAATGCAACAGATGACATCACAACAAAAGTAGCATACTTTGCTCTTTTTGAGTCGCACATGAGATATGGACTTGTAGCATGGGGTGGAAGCCCACTAGCATGCAATGAGTTCTCACAAAACAAAAAAAGGCAGTCAAAATAACTGCAGGACTCCAAAGACTCGACAGCTGCAGGGAAGCATTCAGGTCACTCAAAGTACTTACCCTTGTAGCACTCTACATCCAGGAAGTTGTGCTATTTACAGTAAGAAATAACATTACAAGGCGTGGCGAAATGCACCAACACAACCTGAGAAACACCATGCAGTACAACCTTCCACAATATCACACGGCACAGTTTGAAAAGAAACCTTCATACGCATGAATGAAAATCTACAACAGGCTACCTCCAGATCTAAGAAGCAAGACAGAAGATGACCTCAAACCAGCTTTGCATCAATGGCTCATTAATCGACCTTTCTACTCCTTAAAAGAATACCACCAACAGATCTTTGACTAAACGATACCTCAACCACAAATTTAGAAAAAATTGTAAATTAACACTACCACTAATGCCATCCATTAATGAATGTGTAAATAAAGATTAATTGTCTATTGTCTATTATAATTATGAGGTTTGCAACTATTTTGTACCTACATATTTTGTACTAATTTTAGCCTACATTAAAACATGTGTTACTTACTTCAAAGATAACTAATCTACGTCAATTTAAAAATTTTGAAGCTCGGATATCTTTGGGATACATTTTTTTATATTCTTAAAACTAAATAGGTTGATTTAAAATTAGTTCTTATGTTATTTTTATGGATAATAGGTCAATTAGTGTAGCTTGTTAAAGGATATTAAAATTTGATTTATTTTATTTATTAATACAGCTTTTAACATTCCATTTAAAGATACTTCACTAAACCATCCCCACAGCAGCAAATTTAAGTACCCGTTAAACGTAGGTATTGTTAGTGAAATATGGGATTGACCTAATATTTTAAAGTGGTGTATCATTACACAGCGTTACAAAGAGGGGGGAAGGGTTTTTAAGATCGTTATGGTAAAGAACAAAAAAAATCCATTTTTCATAGGTGCCAAAGTTTTCAAATTGTTTAAGAAACAGTCACATTTAAGACGCTTAAACACATGAGAAGTGCTTATTATATAATTGCAGATATTTTGAAAAAAAAAAAGGTTTTGTTGCTTAAAAGTTAATATGTTTAGGTATTGTGTTAAAAAACTGTAAAGTTGTTCTTAAAATATTTAGTTAAATTGAAAACCAATACTTGAATATAAACTTGAATGACCAATAACAAATTTTTAAAAAATATTTGAAAACAAATTTCAAACAATTTTTTCCCTTTATTTAGTGTTTTCAATGAAAAGTATTTTCATACGTAGTGCCCTTTAAAGATCATAATTTTAGTATGAACCCTTTTCATATTTTTTTTAATACAGCTTTTAAATGCTAAGGATTTTCCACATTTTTTACGAACCAATGTAGGTCTCTTCATAACGGATTCAGACACAAAGGATTTTCAACATGATTAGCACTTGTGAGGTATCTGTTCTGTATGAACCAATGAATGTCTTTGAATTTCGCCTTTGGTTGTCAAGGATTATTCAATTGCACCACAGATCAATTAAGATATCTCTCTTGTATGAACCAATGAATGTTTCTTCAAACCCCTTTTGGATGTAAAGGATTTTTCACATGTAGAGCACTTGTAAGGTGTCTCTCCTGTATGAATCAATGTATGTGTCTCCATAAACCTTTTGGTCCTAAAGGATTTTTCACATATAGAGCACTTGTAAGTGTAGAAACATACAGACAGCGTAGCGTAGCGCAACGTAGCGCAGCGCAGCGTAGCGTATAGGAGCGCAGCGTAGTCCAATACACACAGAGAGTGCAGCGTAGCGTAGCGCAACATAGGTTGTAGACGGTCTTAATAGTGTACCCGGTACATCAGTATAGAAGATGGCTCTGTCGAAGACGGCTCATATCAGTTTTGTCGAAAATACCTTAAGGTGGCAGTTTTTGATCAGTAGGAGAAGTGTCGCGGTGCATGAAGTGGGGTAGCGGATTTTTATCCCCCTGGAATTTTAGCCCCTGGGCAAACGTGACGTCACAAACCAGGGGGTAAAATTCCGGCCGCGAACTTTTGAGTTTCGCGACATCAGCTCGATGGATTAAACGCGGAATTAAACATATATTTTCACGGTTGTGAATTTAATCAGAACACATCAAATTATAAAAACCGGGAGTGTACGGCCCGTCTTTTTACCCCCCGGAATTTTACCCCCGGAATTTTACCCCCCGGAATTTTATCCCCGGTATTTTACCCCCTGGCTAGATATAAAAATTAGTGAGAATGATTAATTATCTTCATTCTGTTTTAATTTAATAGTAAACATTTTATTATTAAGTAGCCTATCTTAATTTATTTGTGACATTAACTAATCGAACATGTTTTTAATTTTAATTTTGAGATTCAAGTATTAGGATTCGATCTTTGAAGCCAAATTTTGGTTAATATGACGTATATACAATCAACTGAATGAGATTACAAAATAAATAAATAAAGACAGGCCACTAAATAATGAAATGTTTACAATTAATTAAAAACAGAAATAAGAAAACCAATCATTCAATTTATAAAATCGGCCAGGGGGTAAGATTCCGGGGGGTAAAAATCCGGGGGTAAAATTCCGGGGGGTAAAATTCCGGAGGGTAAAAATCCGGCCCGTACATTTCAGTTGTCTAAACACTAGTTATATGTACAGGGGGTAAAATTCCGGTTTTTATCGCTAATTAAATTAATCACGCTCTGACTATTTTCATTAGACTTCGAAATCCGCGGGGGTAAAATTCCGGCCGCGAACAAACTTTTGGCCACTCAGGTTACTACGTCATAGTGACGTCAGCTTTGCCCAGGGGGTAAAATTCCAGGGGGATAAAATTCCGGCGACCCCATGAAGTGTGTAAAGGCAGGAACAGGCATGGTGAATACATCTTATTTCCAATCCTTAAAAACACGAGTCTCGGTTTAAGAATTATGCAAGAATGTCGACTACAACGTTCGATCACATATTTAGTTTGATGATTGAGAGACGCTTACAACTAATTGAAGGGGACCAATTGGTGCAGAAAAGAGACTAGAATTGACTCTTAAGCGTGTCTGCAGTCGAATGCGCTCCAATACGCTCTGAGAAAAACAAAATAGTTTGTTCCTCGGTCGTACGCTGCGCTGCGCTGCGCTACGCTACGCTGTCTGTATGTTTTTACACTAAGATCTCTCTCCTGTATGAACCAATAAATGATTCTTCATACCGCTTTTGGTTGTTAAGTATTTTCCACATGTAGAGCACTTGTAAGGTCTCTCTCCTGTATGAAACAATGAATGTCTCTTTAAATTGCCGTTTGTTGCAAAAGATTTTTCACATGAATTGCACTTGTAAGGTCTCTCTCCTGTATGAACCAATAAATGTTTCTTCATACTGCTTTTGGTTAAAAAGTATTTTTCACATGTAGAGCACTTGTAAGGTCTCTCTCCTGTATGAATCAATGTATGTGCCTCCATAACAGTTTTGGTTGTAAAAGATTTTTCACATATAGAGCACTTGTAAGATCTCTCTCCTGTATGAATCAATATATGTCTCTTTAAATGGCCGTTTGTTGCAAAAGATTTTTCACATGAATTGCACTTGTATGGTCTCTCTCCTGTATGAACCAATAAATGTATCTTCATACTGCTTTTGGTTGTAAAGTATTTTCTACATGTAGAGCACTTGTAAGATCTCTCTCCTGTATGAATCAATGTATGTCTCTTTAAATGGCCGTTTGTTGCAAAAGATTTTTCACATGAATTGCACTTGTATGGTCTCTCTCCTGTATGAACCAATAAATGTATCTTCATACTGCTTTTGGTTGTAAAGTATTTTTCACATGTAGAGCACTTGTAAGGCCTCTCTCCTGTATGAATCAATGTATGTTTCTCCATAACCGTTTTGGTTTTAAAAGATTTTTCACATATAGAGCACCTGTAAGATCTCTCTTCTGTATGAAATAATAAATGTTTCTTCATATAGCTTTTGCTTGTAAAGTATTTTTCACATGTAGAGCACTTGTAAGGTATCTCTCCTGTATGAATCAATGTATGTGTCTCCATATACCTTTTGGTTGTAAAGGATTTTTCACACACAGAGCACTTGTAACTCTTGTAAGATTTCTCTCCTGTATGAACTAATAAATGCGTCTTCATATTGCTTTTGGTTGTAAAGCATTTTTCACATGTAGAGCACTTGTAAGATCTCTCTCCTGTATGAACCAATGAATGTCTCTTCAAATGGCCTTTTGTTGCAAAAGATTTTTCACAAGAATTGCACTTGTATGGTCTCTCTCCTGTATGAACCAATAAATGGTTCTTCATTTTGCCTTTGGTTGTAAAGGATTTTTCACATGTAGTGCACTTATGACGTTTCCCAAAATGTATCAACAAATGTGTTTTTACAAGGTGTTGTTGGAAAAAGGTTTTTCCACATGCCAAACATTTAAAGGGTCGCTCTCCCGTGTGATACAATATATGAAGCTTCATTGCGGATTGAGTTCAATAACTTTGCTCACAGATTGGACATTTGAGAGGAAAATCTTTAGAGCAAGTTAACATTTCTACTCTTGTAATTTTTATCCCTTTATAAACTTATCACATTAGCTAGTAACTAATCAGAAAACCCAACCAATCAGAGGGATTTAAATGTATTTAACTAGAAACCTTGTTTGATGGCATTGTTAAATGTAGGTATAGTATTTACACGATATGCTACTTCTCTCACTCCACATTGAATCACCTCATAGTCAAGTCTTGCAATGCATATTAGGTATTTTACAATATACTTGAGGGATTTTCCTTTCTCTTGCGTTTCTTTATTGAATTATATTATTTAGTAAATCAGTATAATCCGTTGTTTTAATTCTTTTTACCACCAAACCACACCGAAAATTATTATTGTAGTTCAAATTCTAGTTTAACAAAATGAATTGCTGGATTTCTCCCGTCTTAAGTCTGAACTCATCTGTCTTCATTTCTGAAAAAGATAAAACCTTTTAAAATCTTTATTAATTCGTTCACATGGGTTAAACAATCAATTTAAAATATAAAAATAATTTCCACAAGCTTGGAAATATCATAATGATCCAAAACAGGGCTTTGCTGTTATGCTTAACATTGAAAATAAAATCACGCTTATCAAAATGTAAACACATTCAAACCGAAACCCCTGTTGCGGAGAAAACTTTTCTGTATGCATATTTAAAATAAAAGAAAAACGATATGTTCTGGAATACTAACCAGGGTGTCCAGCCGACCAAGAAACTAAGAACTGTACATGAAATACGATGACAAGGAAAAAGTCTGTAAACTGCATGTTCATTTTGTATGGGACTGGAAAATATTTAATAACTGCCAACATCCTATGGCTGAGCATCCATTATTAACAGTGCTCTTTTGGTTCTATTTTATAGTTGTTGTATGGCAAAAAGATAACGATCACAGTGTCACCATATTGTAATTACACTGGATGACCAGCAATAATCAGCAATAAGTTACCATTTTCAGTCTATATTTTTGTCTATTACACACTTTTGTTTATTGTTTGGTGCAATTTTACTTCATTATCAACCTAACCCAAACAATTTGGTCAACCTCCTAGGGTCTGGTGTTTGTTAACTCTTTGTAAACTTCATGCATCGCATTTTCATTACAGGACTTCCAATCAACCATAAAAAGTTTTTGCAGGGAACCTTGAATCAATTTAGTATTTTGTCACATGAGGAACCAATATGTAGTGTAAAACAAATCATGAATGTAATCACAGATCAAGTTTCTGACAGAGTTTAATAATACAAACTGCACACAGCTCATTTTAAAGTACTAAAAAACATTGAAAATGTAACTTGTATTGTTCTAGCAAGAATACAGATGTTTATGGTTATGGAAGGTAGGTCTGATAACATCACCCCCAAACTGAATCAAGATATATCCAAACTTCTTTAACGAGCACAATCAAAATAGAACAAAAAACACTAACAAGTAAAACAAAATTTTAGCCTATATAATTCCTTAAGAACTTGTCTTTCAAACAGCTTTTGTATGTGAAATTTCTAATATTCTTTATTAAAATAAAAGTGGCTCAATAAATTTTTAAATAGGCCTAAGGTAAAAATAATTTATTGAAAAAAATTGTGTAAACCTGAATAAAAATAATCTGATGAATTTTTTTTAACAACGATAAGAAATTTGAAAGAAAAAGCTATACATTACTTTAAAGTAGATAAGTTTACATCCTAAATAAAATAATTACCTACACCTATAAACTAATCTTATTGCCCATTATGCTACCTACAGTACTAGCCGCGTTGGCCGAGCTTATGGTTTTTTTTTTACGATTTTCATGATACTGTACCTTAGCTTAAAAGTAAATCTCAAAGATGAAATTCATATAGCAGTATAACAACCATAAGAGGGGTTTCTAGTAAAAATTTCTGATTTTTAGCGAATTTCCCATATAGGGAATAAGCTATTACCGTAGTACTCATGGTAAGACCTGGACGCGGGACCGATTTTTTTTTTCGTTTTGAGATCCCTAGAGGCCAAAAACACCATCCGTTCAAATTCATATATATATATATATATTTATATATTTATATATATATATATTTATATATATATATATATATATATATATATATATATATATATATATATGTCCGTCAGCACGATAACTCGAGCAAAAATGATCCGATTTTGATGAAATTTGGTACAAACGTGTAAACGTACGTTTATTCGAACGAGTTCGCGATCCAGCATGATCGGACCATGGGAACAGGGGTTTACGGGGGGTTTTATGGGGTAAAAATAGGTTTTTGCCTTTTTTGACCCAAAAAACATAAAATTTAGCAATTTCTTTCCAAACCATTTTGTAGAGCTTAAAAAAACAAATAATTTAGTATATTGAAGCGTTATTATGCGCCTAATGGTTACGGAGAAAATTCAAAAAAATTGTAAATTTAAAATTCCCATGTTATTCTTATGGAGAATAAGTAAACTAAGTAGTTTGCTTGTTTGTGAACATATTTTGATCAAATTTGGAAAATGTTTTTATTTCTTACTAACTATTCACATTTTACAAAAAAAAAAAACAGTTTTACCCTCCCTGATGCAGCAAACCTAAGTACTTGTTAAACTAATTCTATTTAAATCAAGAATAAATGTTATATTTTAAAGTAGACATTTTAGTGTAAATCCAATCAGTCAAATGGAAATTCGCTTAGTCTGCAGGTTTGCTGCGGCGGGGGTATTAAACCTTGTCCCAACAAAGATATTGAGACTCAAAATTTGAATTTTTCAAAAAATTTCAGTTTTTGAAAAATTATAACTTTTAAAGGAATTAAGTATCAGGGTTGATTTTTGAAATGCAAACAGCTCTACTGAGTTACTATACACAAAAAAAAATCAAGTCTGAGATTTTATTCGTTCCAACGGTAATACGCCTTCAAAAGTTGAAATTTTTCCGTTTTCTTATAAAATGTTCAGATGGGTTGAAAACTGTTTTTGATACACATTTCAATTAGTATGTACTGAACATAAAATTTAGGCTGTTTCTTCCAAATTAAAATGCTTTCTGTTTGCTCTTGTGTTCATGGTTACCGAGTTATGCAAGTCAACACAAACCCTTACATGAGCAAAAGTGTGTGTGTTCCCCAAAACAAAAATGGCCACCGTAGAAGTAACAAAAGAGATAAAAAAATGTTAAATCACTTTTGAACCCAGAATTGATATAGATATCTAGCAGTGGCGGCGATTGGGCTTGAGAGGTGGGGGGCGAAATCTAGATTTATTGTTGATAATTCTATTTTATAATTTTGATAAATATTCCTTATGAAACGTCGCCTCTGATATCTAGGATAAAAATATTATTTTTTCTTAAAATGGTCAAGTAACCCCTGTTCGATCACTTGTGATATGTATAGACCCCTATAAGTTATTAATTGCTCTATTTAATTTAAATTGAAACTTTTGGCTCTAAAATAATTTTATCCATATTTTTAATTTTGACATTTTCATGTATAAACTTTTATATTGCACTACTTGTTTTAATTTATTTGATCTGAAGCTATTAATATTGATGGTATGTTGTTAGGCCATGTATGATAATGATGAGTATTTTAGTTAAGTTAGTTTTATTAAATTACTCTTGACACCATTCCTGTATCTATGTATTGTACTTAGGCCTAAATGAATAAAGTTATATGAAATGAAATGAAATGAAAACATCGTTTGACAGCGTCGGCGGCGGGATGACGGAACCCAAGCCTCGCGGCAGCCACCGAGCCACACCGGTGAGTATGAATGAGTCAACTCATACTCATTGCCCGCAGTACACTCTCGCCATTGACTAAGGAAACAAAAGCAGACAGCCAACGGTCGTTGCGCTTGACTTAGTTCATGATGCGGATATCAGGCAGCACCACCGTCGATGATGCGAAAGATCTTCTTTACCGACGTGAGTACGGCGAACGGTGTTCCTCTACTATATTACTTACATTTTTACAATGAAATGTACATATTTATTATCTGCAAACGTTACAAAAAACACGGCAGTCTAAAAATCGTAAACATTTAATTTGTATACATTTTACATGGTTATACAAGACATGAAAATAAGTACATGAAATTCTAGTGAATTCATGAAGACATAGACGTAAATGAGCGTGAAATTAGGTTTTATATTAAGGATAGAACAAAATTATTTTTGAGATAAATGTTGATATAAAGCTATTTTAATGCCCTAAAACAAAAAAATTTTCCTATTAACTGGGATAAAATTAGGGTTTTAATCATTATACTGTAGTTTGCAATTGTGGCTGTTGTTGTATTGGTAATCAGGCCTAAAGCTTTGTTCGATAATTCAACACCTTACACGTGTTTAAATTATGATTTTTTTATTTATTTACTCAATAAACACATGTTACTTTCGAAACTATATGTTAGGTATTTCTTTGAACACAAAATATAAGAACCACACACTGTTGAGTTTATTTTCAAAATTTTAATTGAATATGTTTGTAAATAAATGACTCTAAATCTGGGAAAAATATATATATCTAATAATATTCGACAAAATAACAAAAAAAGTGTGACAGTTATACCTCTAGCATAGTTTTCTCATAACAACACGGGTAATGGACCAATGAGGTTCAAGGATTGAGAGAAAAGAAGTAAAATTGTAATGCTTCGAACGTCAACTAATCAGCTGATCAGCCGATCAGTTGACAATTTTAATTGTTGATCCGACTTGTTTCTGTTTATACTCGCTATTCTTAACCTAAGTTGGTGGATGTTAAAGGAAGGTAGATTAAACCTATTTTTAAAATGCCAGTTAGTGAAAGTGAAGTTGACGAGATGGAAATGAGAGCACATACTGTTTGTGCTAATCTTTTGCCACCGAAATCGAAACAAAAGTATGAAATTACATACCAGCTATTCATTAAATGGACGAAACAAAATAAGGTTAAATTAATTGATGAGAATGTGCTTCTGGTTTATTTTGAAAACCTATTAACAACTTTTTCACCTAACTCGTTGTGGACCATATATTTGATGCTGAAATCTAACTGTAAATTAACTGTTTCAGTTATCCAAAAAATGCAATATTTCCCTAAATGTACCTGATACGGTATTTATGGTCAGAATACTGCTAGCAGAACCTACTCCCTGGAAAAAGTAATGTATTATTTAACGAAGTTTTACAAACACGTAATTACATGAAATCAGCTGATTATACATTAAGTCGTTGCATCACTTTCATTGGCAATGATAATAAACGAAAACATAACCTCTCTAAGAACTTATGAGTAGTGATTGTTAGTAATTAAAAAACGGTCGTAGGTAAAGTTGTATACGCAACTCGCGTTAATAGTCTTTACGACTAAGACAGCTTCTGCATGTGTTCATTTCAGCCTTTAATCTTGTTAGTCAAGAGTGCAAGAATAAGTTTGGCATGTTTATTTATTATTTGTTTGACATAGCCTATTGTTTGTTATGTAACTGAATGGCCAATAAAATCATTTTTAGAAGTTTTAAGGCACTCGCCAAGGCTCGTGCCTGAAATTTTCTACTCGTCTCATGAAGACTAACTTAACGCAATCGTTGCGTAAACTAATATAATTTGACAATTTGACAATAGTTCATAATAAGGAGGGGATAGCTGTCGATAGGAAACAAATAAATTCAAACAGAATTAAAAAAATTCATCCTGTTTGTAAAATTTACATCTATATTTCCTAGTTGATGAAGACAATCGTAAATTAGCCATTGCATACGCCCCTCGTTCTTAGTTTGAAATATTACATGCATTTATTCTCTCCATATATTTATAAATTATTTTAAATTTTTAGTGCGTTTAAAAAAGTGGTATTGAAAAATTGTATTTATAAATTATTTATTTTAAAACCCTCGAGCGGGCGCTTTCGGAGTTTTCCTCCGCACTTGTAGTTTTTGTTAATATAAATATGCATAATGGGTGTCGGCAGTCGTATTCAGCTCTACACTTCACGCCCCTCATCCTGGGAATGTTCCTAAGCTATTTTTACACTCGAATTCCTCCTCATTTTGTTGTCAGCTGCAATTCATTGACGCGGTGTCAGTTTGCGGAGGTTTACTCGTTTACTCCGCGTGCGCCCTATCGCGTAAGTCCTTAGCGCAGAGTTAATTTCCTCATGCACTCTTTCAAACTGCGTGTATATTTTATACATACAACATTATAAACTTGTTTAAATGTATTATTTCATTAATAATTATTATCAAATATATTTTGATAATAACCCAGCACATTCATTTGTGTAGGTATATTTTAAAGTCCTGACAACCTAACCAACACAATTGTGTAGGTTAGATGTTTATTTGTTTTTTTGAAGTTTCTGGATCTTTCTGTTGCTCAGACCTGTACGCATCGATTGTGTAGGTTATGGAGATCAGGTGGGAATTTTTGTTTTGCAGTCTGCCTTCATGTCTTATGGTAACACTGATTGTTTGTTGTTTGTTGCAATGTCACGGTGAGATAGGAGAAAGAGGCAACTGTTAAGGTTAATGACTGTTTTATTTATGTGTTTAAACGTAGGCCCTATATGATGCTAATTATTGCTGAAACTGAAATGGTTAATATGGTATTATGAAGGTTTCATCTTTAAAACAAACCTAATCAATAATTTTAGTATTTGAAATCTAGGTTAAAAACCAACATTTATTCAAAACTAGCTGAGTACCCGTCCTTCGTACGGGGTTGGTATAGGCCTACAATGCGTATTGTAGTTAAATACTCGCTTACATTGGCATTTGCAATGAGAGAGGACACGTTTTAAAAATATTGGGTTTACTATAATCTACGGTATACTATAGTATATAGAACATCTACCATAGCCATAATGTTATAGGTCTACCACTTAACCTAATCAGTAGGAAGAAGTAAAGTTTTCACACTCAGGTTTTTGTTGCTGCTTGGTTCAAATTAGCTGTTGTCATAAATGTATAAGGAACTAATGGTGCTGCACCCTGTTGGTAAACCGTATAACCTTTTAATGCTATTGAATATCATATAAACAAATTGTGTAGTTGAAACAGCTGGCAAAATTATTTAATTCCTTTTAAAAATGAATAGGCCCCTACTCATAAGGTTAACATGGGAAACTCTAGAGCCGCTGGGGCGGAGCCCAAAAGAATTTTTGAGGTAAGAATATGTCTATATGTTAATCGGGAATGTGAGCTATCATCATACCAAATTTCAACACAATCCGACCAGTAATTAATGCGTGATTGAACTTCAAAAAACAAACAAACAAATAAACAAACAAACACACAAACTTTCACATTTATAATATTAGTATGATGATTTGCTCAGGACTTAAAGCGGTCGAGATGACTAAGATTCCCGGGTCTGAAAGGGATATGTCTAATTGCATTATTGCGGAACAAAACTCCGCAAGCGCCCTCTCTCGTAACATACCTTTATACTAGAACATTTCTCAATATGTTTATTTGAAATATTACTCACAATAAGTTAAACAAATAATGTTTTAACAAAGAAATTAGGATTCTGATTAGGTTATTCAACACTATAATATAATATTTAGTTATAACAACAAGTAAAATGGGTAATATTTAAGCTATTTAGTGTTGTGGAATAAAACTCCGCATGCGCCCGCTCCCGTTTTACTGGTGAAGCGCCTCCTCGAGGGCTACAGTTTAAACCATAGGCCTAGTTGTGAAAAAAATATTATATTTAATATGTTAAAATCAGCAGTGTGAAATCATGAAATAAAGTGAATGTGACACTGTTGCTTGTTTCCCAGCCAACGCAAACGTAAACAGTGTGAGGTTTTTCCTTGAATTGCCGAAGAAACTAACCAATATTTACTTTTTAAACTATTTTGTTTTGTCAGGAATGGGGTGACAATACAGTGCCAGCTGTAGATACCGTTGGGTTGATTTATGGTCTATTGTTTCACCCTGAGCCTGCGTTTAGAGAGGTTTCACTTTCTCTCCCTTGTCTTGGCTACAGAAGGCAACGAAGTTGAGCGAATTTTTCTTTAGTGAATTAGAAGTTGCCAAATTCAACAATATAGATGGGATGAGTATTTTCAGAAATTGTTCCTTACGTACAGTAATTAACAAGCATCCATGAAAAACACATCACTATTTACTTCCGAAACACAACCTTTATTTACTGAGCTATGGCCTAATTCTTTTTTCTTTACTAAGCGGTTAACAATTTACTAAAATCGCACTCTTTAATTCCCTCCCCGTAGCAGCATACTTAAGTATCTAATGTTATAAAAATAAGAAATAAATATGACATTTTTAATGAAATAATAAAGTGAAAATACAATCAATTAATTTATAGTAAATTAAAAGCATATCTAAACCTCAATAGTGTAGCGTATGGTTGTAAATCTTATGAAATGACGCAGTTTTTAACATATCCGGCCACCTTCATACTTATACAGGGTGTAGAAAAATGCAATAGACCAATGTTTTTAAAATATTTATCAAACACCTTAATTTTTTTCTTATAATGTATTTACAATTAGGGTTTTACTGTTGATCCTCCCTCGTTTTCTATTATTCGTATTCAATATTTAATGTAGAACATCGTCGCTTAAGAAATAACACCACCTAAGTGACATTTTTGGCAAAAATGAGATTTTGGTATCTCTATGGAAACCTATGCATTTTACACGTCCTTGCGACGTAGTTTAACGAAAATCCAACAGAATTCGCTGCTATCGTATTTCTTCTAACACCGCCTATCTTACTTGCTAAAAGAACACCGCCTATGTCCACCAGTTCTAACATGGTTGTCAATGAGAGAGGCTCTTTCATCCTGGTGGAGGTATCATTTTTTTGTCATTTTAATCGACTAAGTCAAATTTTAATTATAACTAAGTTTTTCTTTGCTTTTTAAAAGACTTAAAGCGAGTGTCAGTTACTCTCTTATTACACAAAATACTATGTTTATAAATAGCCTATCGAACCATCGATAAATCGATCGATATTTTCATTCTAATGAGTGTAGAATATTTTTTAGGTGTAAAATATAAATAAAATAGGCTAAAAGCAAAATTAAACCAGGCTAACTAAATTAAACTTGGCCTGTAACTTAGGCTATTAGGCCTATATTGATTGATTACATCTAAGTATTCATTTGCTGTATTAATAACAGGATTATGAATTTTATGACGATTGTTAACCCTCCGAGTGTCCACAGTTTAGGCCTTAATGTCCGCCTATTTTTGGCGCATTTGCAAGGTTTTATTAAAATGGATCTGAAAAGCTTAAAACAATGTTAATTCTACTGTTCTATATAACTTAGGCCTACCATTTTGTTTGGAAAATCATGGGTTTCAATATCATACATAAAACCTAAGGAATAATATTTGTTTCAAAAAAAATTTTTGTGGTAAAAATAAAAATTATTTTGGAAAAATTAAAAAAAAAATAAGTTCGCGCTCAATGAAATTGTATAAATTATAGGCCTATAAATATTTGAAAATAGCCACTTTGTTCTAAATTTTATGAGGATTACAAAGATATAATAATATAAGGAAGTAGATTTGCAAATAAATAAGTTATGGGCAAAAAACAGATTTCAGTACATAGCGTTTAGCTAAGAATGCATAGCCTAACCATAGCTAGTAATCTGGCTGATAGGCCTAATTTACATCAATATCACTAGCCTACCTACTTCTTCAGGATCATCAACCAGCCCTTCAAAATCACTTAAATCTTCTTATAATGCACCACGTATATCACTACTTTTGATTTTTAACACTTAAACAATGATAAACATAATAAAACACATCAGTCATCGGTCCGAGGTTAACTAACCTGTTTACAAATACGCACGTCAGCTGTCTGCTACAATTACGATCAGCTCGGAGAACATAAAGCGCTTAGAGACAGACCTCTTAGAAAGCTTAGAATATAACGAAAAGAACGATAGGCCTACCTAACTCGATCCAGTTCAATCCGATTTTGTCAGTCATAGAGCCTTCGCCGTAAACAGTGTCCGTGAGTAGCTGCAGCGACGCATGACACTCGGAGGGTTAAAGCATTGTGAAATGTCTACAACAATAAATTGATTCGATTTGATTTGATCCTAATGTATTAGACAGAAAAATAACATACCTCTGGATCACCTCAGCCTAAGTTGAATTGAGAAGGAATCAGATTGCCAAAGCTTAGCAAATAAGTTAACTTAACTTAAGAGCCCAATGAGATCCAACTAGGCCTAGTAATGTAATTTCATTAATAATGCAGGTTTTCTGCAGAACTGAGCCCACCAAGGAAGTAGGCCAAGTTAAATAGGCTAGGCCAGGCCTAATAGGCTAGGTCTACTACAGGCTAGTTAGTGCTGATCAAGAACTAAGGTTTAACCATAGGGTAACTTATATGTTAAACTTACCTTTGTGAGGGTGTTCTTTGATGAGGCCTAACTTATTAGCCTAGTTGCTGGCTTGGTCTTGGTACTGGTACCATTGACTTTAGATATAAAGTTAAAGTCAATGCTGGTACTGTGTGTAGGCCTAGCAGAGAAGTGAGCTGTAATATCGTATGTTACATAAGCATAACTACAGATACCAATAATAGGCCTACAGAGACTAATAATTCGTTTTCATTAATTATTTCTTCAAGCAATGTCTTCATCAGTTTACTTTGTATCTTTTCAGTTTATCGCTACCGCTACCGGTAGGTAACACTAAGCTAAGTAAATAAACGAATGCCAAGTTACCAAGTTGAGCGAGAGCGGCGCTTTTGGTTTTGAGGCTTTGGTATTGGCTTTGCTTTGTTTGGCTTTGACGTTGACTGACGCTTCAACACTAGTTTTTTTTTATAACTTTTTTCCTCTAAATGCCACAATTGTGGTGGCCTTGATTAAAAGTCATGAGGCCCCAGTGTTCACTTTTTTTGTTTAACCATCTTCTTTTTACTTTCTCCCCTTATACCATTATATGGAGAAAGTATTGGTATCGTTTTCGTCAAAATTATCGAATTTGAGTTTTGAGTGGATATATCCGTTTTGGGTCCCCCTGGACCCGAAAAAGTGGTTTTAGAAGTGATGTATGTGTGTGTGTGTGTCTGGATGTGTTCAGAGCTAGGGCACGGCCGCCTTTAACTCGGGGCCCATTTCATAATAAACTACAAGTTACAAGTTACAACTTGTAACTTGTAATTTCCATTAGATTTGCATTGGGCGATCAGCTGATTTACTAATAATATTAGTTTGTACTTTATTATGAAATGGGCCTCAGGCCACGGCCTTCGAACTGGCAACATCGCAAGTGGTGTTGTAACAGCTGTTTTTGTTTGGAAGCAGCTAATGGTATTTGTGTATTTATGAAAGATTGGTTACTGGACTATGACAATATTGACTCCGCTTAATAATGTACAGATATAGATTTTAATTCATATTGTTTCTGTTTTCAATTCTATATGTTTTATTTTCAATCTAATATAAAATTCTCGTGTCACAGTGTTTGTCTGCAAACTCCTCCGGAACGACTTCACCGATCGTTATGAAATTTGGTGTGTAAATTCTGTAGGTATGCGAATCGGACGTAAACTATTTCCCGTTTCGAAATTCTTAAAAGGGCTCCGCCCCAGTGGCTCTGGAGTTTCCCATGTTAACCTTATGAGAAATGGAATTAATGAATCTTAACAGCTGTTTCAATTAAACAAGTTGGTTCTGTTCTATGATGTTCAATAGCATTAAAGTTACAAGGATTACCAACAGGGTGCAGCACTATTATTTCTTTTACATTTATGACAACAGCTAATTTGCAACCAAAAGGTGAGTGAGCGTAGCGAACGAACTTCAACCTAAAGGTGAGTGAGCGTAGCGAACGAGCTCCAACCCAAAGGTGAGTGAGCGTAGCGAACAAACTTCAACCAGGACGTGATTGAGCGATGCGAACGAGAGAGGCGAGTGAGCGTAGCGAACGAGCTAACCTGAAGGCAAGTGAGCGCAGCGAACGAGCTCCAACCTAAAGGGAGTGAGCGTAGCGAACGAGCTCCAACCCAAAGGTGAGTGAGCGTAGCGAACGAACTTCAACCAGGACGTGATTGAGCGATGCGAACGAGATCATCTTGAAAATTAAACGTAACGGTACTTTCTTTCCATCGGTCTGTCTTAGGGGAAACCTATAAATTAGGCAATACGAAGTTCGCCGGGTCAGCTAGTATTTTAATAAATTTATGTTCATAAATTTAAATTTAAATCAATAAAGTGCGAATTAATGAGCTGATGTCACCTGTCTGCCATGTTATCTTATGGGACGTCTGTCACTGAACAACAGGTATTTACTCAGGGGAGGTATAGAAGAGGCTTCGATGACAGCTGTGGGCTTCTCATTAGCTGAGGGAACGCCATTACAGTAACAATACGATTTGCCGCCATCGGCCTCGGTGGTCTAGTGGTTAACGTGCCGGGTTCATATGCTGAAGGTCCGGGGTTCGAATCCCGCTGGAAGCATTAACTTTTTGTCCATGATTTTTTCAATATCAGCAAGTTTGGTTGGTTTGGTTCAGTTATGACAGTTTAATTTTATTATTATTAAGTCATTATAACATTTTAATTGAGCAATTTCTATTTTTATTTATATTAAACAGATTTATTGTTTCTATTACTAAACTTTTGTTATATTATTTCATTATCAACAAGTTTGGTTAGTTCGGTTAGGTTATGATAGTTTTTATAATTAAAAAATAATAAAATTGAATTTGAGGCATTTAAAATTTTATTTTATGAACAGAACTATTTTTGCGATTAGTAAACCTTCATTGCCAAAGTGCTCTCTACTACAGCGCTGTTTACGGAGGAATTTTGAACTAATGCCTCTATCGTACCTCCCCTAAGTCAGACCCCTGAACAACACCACTTGCGATGTTGCCAATTCTACCAGGCCGCGGCCTGTAGTTAAAGGCGGCCGTGGCTAGGGACTAAACATGTGGTCCGATTTCGATGAAATATGGTATGTAGGTTCTAATCCATGGTATCTCTAGATGTTTTTTTCATTTTTTTGAAATGTTGATTTTTAATGGGGATTTTCCCATAAAAAACCGGAAAATCGGATTTTTCTCAAAAATGGCCAAAACAATTTTGATAAAAATTTAGTATGTTGTAGCCCTTAACATTCTAAAAAAATGGTACAGATACCATTTCTGTAAAAGTTACGGTTCTAAAGTTATTGTAAATTATGTTATTTTCCCATAAAATAATGAAAAATAGGATTTTAGAAAAAAATTCGGTTTCAAATTAACATATAGTATGAATGAATGAATTATTTCTTTATTCAAACAAATTACGGTATTTACAAAATATGTACACAAATATTTAAAGGAAGAACAAAAACATAAGTGAATTTAAAAGAATAAAATTAAATAACCTTTACATTACATCTATGGTAAAAAAAAACGTACATGTTAATAGGGAATAAGCCGACATGGGCAGCGAGCCTGTGCGTCGACTGCAGTTGCTTCGAAACATACATTATTTATCAAATGCAATAAATAAATAAATGACAGGAGAAATGATGAGGTGAAAAAATGATGTGATGGAGTTACAAGAAAAAAAAATTAAGTATGTTATAGTCCTTACAGTTTTGATAGTTTTTTTTTTCATTTTTTACAAATTTTGATTTTAAATAAGGATTTTTCCATAAAATCGAAAAAATGGATTTCCCCAAAAAATTCCAGACCGATTTTGATAAAAAATTAGTATGTAGTCCTTTGAATTCTGAACAAAATTGTACAAATCCTATTGTCGTATATTTACTCTCACTGCTTACTCATGATAAAGGTTGTTGACAAACTTATGGGAGAAAGTATATGTGTCAGAATGCTGATACCGTTTCTTTTGTTTATTTGATATATTTTTTTTACTTCATTTAATTAATTTACAATATCAATCGGGAGAATGATATTGACACATTACATTTTGTTATTGATGACGTAAATGTTGACAGTGAGCACTGATTTGTTCTGTAATATGATGTAAATAGACATCCCATCTACGGATCAGATATCGCACCAATTTTTTACTAAAAATTAATGTGTATTTGTTTGAGCCAGTACAGATTGCTCTAGTGTCTAAAACTCTATTTTGTACCTTATTTTTTGCTACTGACAAAGTTACTGGGTTATAACAGTAATTGCTAATTTATTCTATTTGTCTATGCTATAGCTCATAATAAGTCGTTCCATCAGTTTGACTTGGTAAAAACCATCATGCAATCGGCAGAAATCAGTTCATATCAGTGCAATCTTTAGGTAGCTCACATCAACTAAGACAAATTTGTTCAAAAACCTGGCGACTACTTTATCATGGGGATGGAATGTCTAGTAATATTTTAGTTAGTTAGTTATAAAGAAAAGGATCTCTAGAAGGAAATTTGAGGTACCTATACGTTACGTTTTCTATTCCCATCATCCTATCCTTCTTTACTTGTTTTTCCTTTTCTTCATTCCATTTCCATTTTCTACTATGACCATTCCTTTGGTTTGGTGCGGGAATTGGATTAGAATTTGAAATTAGAAAGTTGGGGTCCTGTTCTTTCAAGGTTCACGGGACGCTCTTTGACGTCATACCATTTGCTTAGTGTTTTATAAGTGGACTATATTTAGTTTTATTACATTTTATAGTACTTTAATGTAGCCTATTGTACAAACTTAATAGCCTAATAAAATCATTGAATCTTATAGTCAATGGCCACACTCATTCGTTTCCAGAGGAATGATTTTACGATTTTAAAACGTTCACACTTTCCTTCCATTCCTTTTCCATTTTAGTGGTTCTGTTTAGTGGACAGTGGTAGTAAGCTGTCGTCTGCCTCTGCAACTGTCATAAAGGGGACTCCCTATTTTATTTTGTTGACCAGGGTCAAGAAATTCAATACATTTAGCAAATAGGTAACCACTTAGAATGTAGATACTGTATTTCCATGAAGCTTGGAACGAAGGTAACATGAATTCTACACGTATGTAAGATTTAGTAACGATTAAAAAATGTTTACCTATTGTGTTAACAAAAAGAAATACCCCCGCCGCAGCAAACCTGCCGTCTAAGCGAATTTCCATTTGGCCGAATTGATTTTCAATTGATCTATTTAAATAACATTAGGTTTAACGAGTACCTAGGTTTGCTGCTACAAGGAAACTAATAAAGTAGTGTGTTTTTAGTAAAATATTTATAGCTTACTATAAAATAAATAAATTTGCCAAGTTTGATCAAAATATATCCATAAACAAGCAAACTACAACATTTTACAATATTCTCCATAAGAATAACATGGGAATTTTAAATTTACCATTTTTTTAGTTTTCTCCGTAACCAATAACCGTATATAAAAACACTTTAATATACTTAATTATTTGTTTTTAAGCTCTTTAAGAAGGACTATAGAGAAATTGGATTTTTTTGTTTTGAGTGTAAAAAATGAGAAAAACCAATTTTTAACCCATAAAACCCCCCGTAAAAACCCCGTTCCCATGGTCCGATCATGCTGGTTCGTGAACTCATTCAAGTTTATCCTACCTTACACCTTCAAACCAAATTTAATTAAAATC